CTGCTGAGTCTTGGCAACAGCTGGTACCTCCTGATATAATTCCAGTCTCTTCAGCAAACTGCAAGGGTGAAACATGTTTTTGTGAATTGTCTTAGCAAGGGAAGGCACTGTGGAAACTTGATATCTTAGTTTCTTCTATTCTTCCCTTAATAAGACTAGTGGTACAAGGTGGGTTGTCATAAACCTACCATAGCCACAGCCTGAAGCATGTGTTTCTCTTTCAGTCATTCTGTTTTCTTTATTCTCTCTACAGAGGGAAATGGCAGTTTTGCTTAAGTTGGTAACTGCAGAGGATATACTTCTGATCTTGCTATGCTCAGATGACTCTACATCTTTGTGCTGCCTATGTATTTTATTTATTTTTACAAATGATAGTGAAGTTTCACAGCAAAAAGGATACTTCTTCTGTGTTTACTCTAGGTAGTGCATTTTCCAAATGTAGAAGAGGGCCAAGGAAATATTTCTAGGATACTTGAAACCAGAGGTAATTTATCTTCTGTTTGTGCCCTAGTATCTCAGGCAGACTTGAGAACCCCTTTGTGCTAAGCCCTATGTTGGAACCTGTGAGGCTTGATTTTGTTGCCAGGATATAGATATTGATGCCCTGAGGTAGCAGACACATATGTCTAGGGGTTGTAGATATGACCTAGAATACATGAGACTTGTGACGATATGGAGCAGCAGTGGAGTCTTCCTAGGAGGCCCTAAGGCATTGCAGATGGCATTAGATGTCCATGTTTAACAATGGAATTGAGTCAACAGGGATACCCCAAAGAGCTTACTGTCCTAATAAACAAGGTAGGCACAAGAGAAAGGAACGTAAAGCACCAGCAGCATGGTCAGGGCTAGCTAAGGTCAAGAGGCTTCCCATATGCATTTGTAAAAGTGGACAGAATAAGTGAGTAACTGGGTGGGAAAGAGGGATGTTTAAAGAGCAAGTGGTTTGGAAGGGAGAAAAGTGTAGGAGAGGAGGACAAAGTCAGAGGAGCCAAAATACTAGCAAAGGCCCTTTTGAGGGGCAGAGGGAGGGAATGGCCAGCAGCAAAAGAAGCATCAGCTAGTCAAAACAAAATGCTCGACTTCCTGACTGGGGCTGTGAGGTCACAGACCAGCAGTTGCCACAGGCCCACTTGTTGCCTCTGTGCCTCGGGCATGAGGTTGCTTGGCCACTGGAGTTTGCTATGCCAGTAAGAGTCACAGGTCTTCACCAAACCTGAGATTGTAGTTTGAAATAATGTATTAAAATCATCAGAAGTTTCTCCTGGTCAAAATGCTTTGCTAATGTTTACACTTATAATCCCCACCTCCTCCTTTTCCCTCTACTGCAGCCTTTCCCGTCTGGGCAGCAAGAGAGCCAAATGTAGATTCAGCCTCATTTCTTTGGAGTGAACCAACTCCTTAATTCTGTGCTGTTTTGCTTCCCACTCAATGTCTGGCTACACAGTCTAGAAAAGTGAGCAGGCAATACTCACTCCGCTGCCATTCCTCCCCTTCCAAGTCCCCCCCACAGCTCATTACCTTCCTGTTATAAGCTACATGAGCTCTTGCACAGCTGTATGCATAGGAAGATCTTGTCAAGCAGTCCAGCTGCCTGGAGCCAGCATCAACGTCAGGCAGGCGACAAAAGGCCAAGGCCAGAATTCAAGGAAAGCAGCATGGCAAAGAAATTCTCCTGCTTGCACTCCAGGCACTAGGGAACTGGTTAATTCCATGGAAATCCTTCTTCTCTGCCAATACCCTGTTCTGCGGTGTTTTGAAAAAATGTGCATAAGTTGCCCTGATGATCATTAACTGTATTTCTTAATGCTGGAAGAGGGAATTGCATTAATGCCAACTTCTGATTTACAGTCATTTTTGTGTAGCATCCTTCTTGCAACTCTTTCCAAACTAGAGAGAATGTGTGTATAGAGTGAAATAGTAAAGTTGGTCTTGGAATGGGAAGCTGGCTTCAATCTGACCTGTGTAGAGCAGAACACATCTAGCAGATGTAATATGTTATGAATGTTTTAGAAACGAAGGAAAAAAAATATTTCTATTGTGGTTTGCTGCAAAGTGGCAAGCTGTCAATAAGATAGAGTTATGGGAGATTGTCCATGTAGCTGGAGCTGCTGAAGAGAAGACTCTTGTACTCCCATGGGGATATTGCAGAAAAACATGCAGGAATGATTGAAAAGAAGCTGATGCTTGAAAGAAGCAAGATTTTCTGTAGCTAACTGGAACAATGAATATAGGGATTAAAAAGTGAAAAGGAGAATGAAGTTCTGTTCTTTCCAGGATCCAATGGAAGTAGAAGATTGGACCTACTGTGCTTGTGTCAATTCTATGTGAAAAGAAGTAGTAGAATCTTGCATGAACTGCAGTTTGTGAACAGCAAAGAATTTATGTTTCTATATAATGCTTTCTTAAGACTCATTTTCTGCTTCCCTCTTTCCCCGCAAACAATATATTTAATCTTGATTCTGAGGAAGTGAAATTTCCTCCTTGTGGAATGATATTATTTGTTCAGCCCTGGAGAGTTCAATGGATTTAACATAAATTATGTAGATAGAAATGACCTGATACAGACTAATGTCGGACCTTACCTGAATATTGAAACGTGCAGTAAGGTAAACTTAGTGTCCGCTGTGTTTTCAGAGCTGTATGGTTTTGATGTCCTTATTGATGACACTCTCAAGCCATGGCTGTTGGAAGTGAACCTATCCCCATCATTGGCCTGGTAAGTGATTCCTGGTTTAATATGAGGCTGGTACTCTTGCTAGAGACGGCTGTACTTGAAACTTGGTCCTAGAAGGGCACGATTTCATGATGCCTGCAGAGTATTTGTTTCACTGCTAATCGACAGAGAGGATAGTCCTTTGCTTTTCCCTTTGCATAAACAAACTTATTGCAGCAATAGGTTTTGAAAGAACCCAGTTGGGATTCCATTTTCTTTTTAATTATTTCTTCTCCACAGTCCGTCATCATTGTTAACACTTCATAATCTCCCATTGCAGACAAATTTTGAAACTCTCCAGACCATTGTGTGGGGTTTCAGTCTGCTTGGCTGAGTAGAAACTTGAAGATTTTGGAGTCCAAGCAGAGTTCAGGCATTATGCTTGACTTGAATACGTAGATATATGCTTAGGCTCAAATTTTTCATCTAGTACTCTCTTTAGCTAAAATCTAAGGAGTGAGAGTTGTCTTGGCCCTTATGCTGACCCTCACACTCCAATGAAACTTGAGGATTTATTTTTGTAGATGTGCAACTATGTGTGTTTTCTGGACTATTGTTTAACTTTACATGAGCACAGATGCACAATGCACTTTTGTACTACTGTGAGTACTATTTCAGTTATAAATAAGCTTTAATTTATATGTTCCTGGAATAGTCATAGCTAACCTTCCCCTTGATTTTTTTTTTTTTCTCCTCCTTTATCCTGCATAGAATTTTTTCACACACTGCTCATAACCCTAGCTTCCACAGTACCCATTTTGTTTTCAAGTGCAACTAGAATGTTTCCACAACGTTTAATTTCCTGTTTTGGTGGTTTGTGCTTATATACATACACACTGAATTATTTGCATCCTTTACTACTTAAAACTCTGACTCAGATCTGCATCCTTTGCTCTGCTTTGATTGCTATTTTCTTTGTCTAAGCTGTTTGCATCTCTCACTGTGCTGTAGAACATGGATGATTTCTCTGTTCCCAAGGAATCAAACTTGGCCTATCTGATATGAACAGTATTCATTAATTTTTATTTTTTTTCCCCACCACTAGGTAAAATTATGAATGCTTCTCATCTGCCCCCACTGTCTGATCTCTTCATGTCTATCACCTACCCTAATAATTTGTTCCCATCCATTAGAACTAACCCATCTGATTTTATGATTTTATGTGGAAGAGGCATAGGTAACTGTGGTTTTTAATAATTCTGCGACAGCAACCTCTATCTACTCCATGAAATGTAGCATAGATACTTTCAAGGAAAATGTTTCCAGCCAAGCAGAGCTTAAACAAGGCTGTATGTTGCTGCATTAGAAGATGAAAGCTGTGAAAAAGGATAAACAGAAACAGATTAGTCTGTTGCTGTTTCATTTTTATCTGTGTGTGTGAAAAATCACCTAGTCTTCCTCCCATGTTCATTATGTCTGTGTTAAGGACCAATGCAGAGAAACTATATTGGAAGATATCTTGGATATTGATGCATTCCTCTCATTTAATGTCAGATAAATAATTCCTCTTGTCCTCTGTTGCATGTGGGGATAGTGATGCTCCTTTGGACCTGAAGATCAAAGCTAGCATGCTCTCAGATATGTTCACTCTTGTAGGTAAGTGTAACAAAAAGCTCTTTCAATCTTCCCTCATTTAAACCCAATAAAAGGTAGGTTTATGAGCTGCATGTTATTAGATGAGTATAATAGAGGAGAATTCTAGTTAGAGAGCAACTGTATTTAGCACTTGGAAGTTATATGTGGACACTTCAACTTCAGAATAATCTGGCTGTTTGTGATGCTTAGGTGGTATTAAGAGTCCCTAGTTTGGTATTTCATAGAATCCTAGAATGGTTTGGGTTGGAAGGGACCTCAAAGATCATCTAGTTCCAACCCCCCTGCCATGGGCAGGGACACCCTCCACTAGACCAGGTTGCCCAAAGCCCCATCCAACCTGGCCTTGAACACTTGCAGGGAGGGGGCATCCACAGCTTCTCTGGGCAACCTGTTCCAGTGCCTCACCACCCTCACAGTGAAGAATTTGAAGCTACTATTCTTTCTCTTTAGCAGATGACTTCTATTTAGCCCTCAGAATCAGTATTCATGCATTTTTTTAGATTGAATGTGTGGGCTCTGGTTAGGCTATGTTAGAAGTGGAGTCGTGATTGTGAAAGCTGCATGACTGTCTAGTGCACAGCACCTTTTAGGTATCCCTAGTACATCTTGGTTCAGTTACTTAATGCAACTTACCCCTACTATTAAAAGAGGCAGAATTGTCATCAGGTAAGCCTGCTCAGCTATTTAAGAAATGGAACCTATCTCTATGCTGCCATTCAGTAATCCATCTTACTGATTTAAGTACGTGGTTTTGAAGCAAGTTCCAATTTTATTCAAAATATGCAATGCAATGTACAGTTTGGGATTAAACAAAGCAAGGTATGAAAAAGAAAAGCATCCTTTTTGGTCCTTAGGCAAGGGCGGGGACAGGAAAGTTGTGTATAGTCTGATATCATTAACAGGAATGATAGATTTATATTTCAGGGTTTGCCTGTCTTAAAGTTCTCATGTGGCTCCTGATGCCCATAGGCTTTGTGTGCCAGGATCCAGGCCAGCGGTCAAGCCGAGCCATTTATCATTCATTGGAATCTGTCAGGAGAAATCCATACCAGAAGCTGCAGGTAAGTGACTTCAACAAGCCAGAGCTGAGGAGGATAGCAGGAAAGTCATTCTCATTGAATTTGGCTCATGAGTGAGAGACCAGTGAATGAGTGAAGGTATCTGGATTTCTAGCATAACTACACAAGAGACTCGGGGGTGCAGCTATGGGCTGTTCGGCCACTTCTGTTTTGTTGTGGACAACAAGCTTCCAGAACCCTAGAGCTTTATGAGAGTCTCCAAGACCTCCTTCTGGGCAGAAAGAGCTTTTTGCACTTGAAATTTAAGGCTTCTTTCCCATTAATTCCTGGAATCTCTTACTTCCTTTCCCATGGATCCTTGGACTGAGGCCTTGTGTGGCTTGCTGTGACTGTCCATTACCTTTTCTGCAGAGACAGCGCTTTCTTAGCACTGTAATGGTGAAGGGCATTTGTTCTCTATCTCTTTTTGGCTACGAGATGGATTCCATAAATATCTATGGAAGTGGAGCACTCACAAAAGGGAGGTCCCCTACGTTGTTTGGACTTTCAAATGCATTTCTCCTCAGGCAAATAGGCAAACGGTGTATCCTGACACTCTCCGCAGCTGATGCGTGTGCTCCTGTGAGGGACATGCAATGTGGCTGTGTAGCTCAAGTTCAATTAGGAAATGAAAAGTCATTTTTGTTCAGTGACAGAGTACCAATACATTGTCCATTTTAGTATAGGAAAAACTCACAGAAATTGTAACATTTTGCTTCTTGTAAAACTCTGAGTCTTGAGTCCCTGAGAGAGAGGTAAGTAGCTTGTAAGGTGAAATTTGAGTGTCTATAGAATGTGTAGCTGAGTCCAAAGCTTCTAAGGCCAATTTAATAGATAGGGTTTCATACAGATCCGTCTGAACGTACAGGTGATCTTTGTGGCAGACAAAAGGTACGTCAGATAAATTAGGAACCGTTTCAGAAAAAGTAACTTTCTCTCTTAGAGTAATGTGATCAGATCCTGATGATTTGACATCTTTTATCTGAAAAAAATTATACAATACAGTCTCAGAAAATTGAGGTGTTGGGAAGCATTGAAATTTAAGGAGGCTTTAAACTTAGAGATTTATTTTGCTTAAAAAAACCCCATGAATAGGTGTAAGGCGTGGCCAGCTGAAATGTGCAAAGATTCATATAACAGAGCAGTGGTTATGAGATGGGATTAATTTAATCTTTTGGGACAGGTGTCCCCCTTACCTATGTTTACCAGGAACAGGCTTCTTAATCCAATGATAAAGTTTTATAGCATGTTTTTCTTAAGTACCTACACGGAAATCCCGTGGCTAAATAGGTGTATAGATTTTTCTATGGTTCAAAAATGCTTTGGTCTGCTCTTTGCTGAATACATTTTATCTCAGATTGTTGGATCTTTGATACTTCTGTTCCTATTCTCAGTTGCAAGGGGTACTTTGAACCTCTTTTGTTAACTCCTTCATGATGTCTTAAGTTTTAATTGTTCATGTAGGCCATCTTTAATCATTGTAAAAATTGCTTTTTGGGAAAGAAATACTGATACCAACATTCTTGGTCATATCATAATATCATAGAATGGTTTGGGTTGGAAGGGACCTCAAAGATCATCTAGTTCCAACCCCCCTGCCATGGGCAGGGACACCCTCCACTAGACCAGGTTGCCCAAAGCCCCATCCAACCTGGCCTTGAACACTTCCAGGGATGGGGCATCCACAACCTCTCTGGGCAACCTGTTCCAGTGCCTCACCACCCTCACAGTGAAGAATGTCTTCCTAATATCTAATCTAAATCTACCCTCTTTTAGTTTAAACCCGTTACCCCTTGTCCTATCGCAACAGGCCCTTGTAAACAGACCTTCTTCTTCTTCCCTGTACGCCCCCTTTAGGTACTGGAAGGCTGCAATAAGGTCTCCCTGGAGCCTTCTCTTCTCTGGGCTGAACAAGCCCAACTCTCTCAGCCTGTCTTCATGGGAGAGGTGCTCCAGCCCTCTGGTCATCTTTGTGGCCCTCTTCTGGACTTGCACTAACATGAGGTAGTCATGAGATAGTTATTCTGTTTTCTGAGTTTCACCAGACTGGACTGCAAGTTCCTTGTGCAGTTTCTTTGGTTTGAGACACTGAGCATTTCTCCCTCTAGGGAAAAGAACAGTTTAGCTGCTTCCTTTGTAACTTATTGTTGATTTGGTTTGGAGCTCTTTCAATTAATTGTAAGCAATAAAGGAACCTCGATCTATTTTGTATAGACCAACTGTAGAGAAGAGCTTGGCTAGAAATGATAGATAGGTCTCTTGAGAATCCTTTCTTACATCATTTGCTCCTCTTGGGCATTGGAGAGGAGGAAGGCAGCCTGAATACCGCTGAAGGCACGAAAAATCTAAGCTTCTATGATAATAGTGTTCTTTTGAACCTACGCCATCATTAAACTGGTCTTGCTTGTAGGCCTGATGCCAGATAAGTAATGCAGGGTACTTTTTGACCTTCTGCTGATGTTCCTACACCTGGTTTGGAATGTTAATTAGCACCTTGTTTCTCCACAAAAACTGGCATATTGTTGAGATATTTAAATGAAATTTCAGGATTTTTACTATTTTTATTTTTTTTTACCCCCTTTTTTCTATGAACAATTCTACTTGACAGCATCTGTTTCTCCTTAATACATAGCTATTAAATATTTTCCTTTGGGTAACTCTTATCTTACGAAAATATGTATTTTTGTCATAAGAGTTGAGTTCATTCATCCGTTCTGTAGAGCAGTTTTCTATGTGCTTTTGAAAATTATGTGTATGTCCAGATGCATTCTGCATAGTTGAGCACATTGGAGGTTAGGATTGGTGCTGCATTTGGAATGGGGACAGTATACATTTGTGGAGGATATAAGGAAGATCTGAACTGAGATGATAGCTGTTAGCTATATCTCTGGACTTCAGTTATACCCTTTTGCTTTAGAGTACTTGTCACTCCTCTGCGACTTGGGCAGGGATGATAGTGTGTTGGAGAACACAAGGTTTTAATTCTTTTTGTCTCTTGCAGCGTCCTGTGTCTGCACAGTCACAAACAGCAAACACCAGATTGGTAAGTACCCTTCAGCTCCCTTCACCAATATAAGGGATGCTATTTCAAATGTTACCTTGTACAATACTTTTGGCACAGTTTGTCCCAAAATATATTTTGCAGCTAAGTAGCCTGGCGGTAAGGTGGGGGAAGTCAACAAGAAAAGAGGAGATGGATAGGCACTGGCATATGTTTCCATGTGACAAGAGCAAAAGTTGGAAAAACATTTATATCAGTTCTAGCAGCTTAAAAAAAGAGTAGGTGAGGTGTGCTGACAGTCAAGATCAGCTGGGTGAAATCTTTCAACGTTTTTAAGCCTACAAGTATTTCTGAACTGCATTTTAAAGAAATTGGACTTGGATGTTTAAATTTGTCACTCTAGTTGTCAAACAAAGACAGTGGCAGCAGAGTGTTCTGGATTTGGTAGGCCATTGAAAAGGAAAGTGCAAAAACAAGGGAAGAGGTAGTGAAAGCAGCAGCAAATAGGAGTGTCACAACAAAAGGGGGGAGGGGGGAGTAGGAATTTTTGCCCTGTGTACTGCAGGGGATGGAATGAGTCTGAATGAAAAGGATAGGAGGGGTGAATCTGTATTGACAAAATTCAGGTGGCCCCATAAGAGAAGTAAATTATTTTCTGTGAGACAGTCATCTGAAGGAAATGCAAAAATTTGAGAGTGAACTGGGTCAAAATAGATATAGAGATAAGAAGTGTTTCTTAAGGATAATGGAAAATTGTAGAGCTATCCTTAGCATAAGTCAGACTGATACACCTTTCTAACCATCCTATTTGGCACCCTCCTTGCAAGCCATATGGACAAATCAATGTTACTTCACAATTCTAAGCACCTGGCTGTGTGGGGCCATATTAGGCATTATTTTGCTGCCGGGCTTTCTGCACAAACGTAATAGCAATGATTCTAATTTTTTTTGAGGTTTCCCAGCAGGAAGGAAGGTAGGACAGATGGAATCATCTTGAGAACCTAATTCATTCATTCATTGTATGCACTGCCGTTTATGTCATTCTGTGTAAATTTAGCCGAGGCTAAGAGAAAAGAGTCTTATTGAATAATGAGGTTTCACAGAGAATAGGAAGTATCTTTGTGCCAACTGCTGTCAGTGCTTAATATAATTAGAATCATGATGTGGGAACCAGAGATGCTTGCAGAATTTGGAGATAAAACAAAGTGGTTAGATTTATCTATACTTTTAAAGATAAGCTGGGTCAAACAGGAAACAAGATCTTTGTGAAGTTGCAGACATTTCTGTGCTACAGCCAGAGAGTGAAACACTTGAAAAGGTTTGTGCAGAAAGTTCAGTAAAGTTAGTTTTACTCCAGCATTTTGACAGTACTGTAGTTTGTTCTCAGGTAGGAGCCAGATCTTCACTAGTTGTAGGAGCCAGAGCTGCCAATATGTTGGCATACATTTTCTGTCTGTCATCAATGAAATCACCTCCATTGTATTGAGACAATGGAGATGATTTCATTGAAGTATTCCTTTAATAAAGGAGATCATCTGATAGGATGAAAAATTTCCTGTAATACTCTCTTTGAGCAGCAGTTCTCACGTGATAATTGTTATGGTAGTGTCAGGAAATCTTTTTTAAGAGGAGGTTACCTAGCAGGAGATTTTAGAGGAAGTTATTAAGCAAAGTTGTTGAGCTGTGCTTTTGAAATGGAAGAGAAACAGCCTTTCAACTTAATGTCATCTACAGCATCAAGCAAACCTGTTTGACTACTGACATTTTTATTTCTTCTGCAAATGCTTGTGTCTCCTACCTTCTCATCCAGATTGTCTCATTTTCTCTTGTTTTATTTAATCAGTTTTCATTAGGCTTAACAAAATGTTTCAGCTGGCACTGCTGTGTCTATTTTCTCTTTGGATCTTTCTGTGCCAATTACTGCAGTGTAACCCATTCTAGTGCAATGCCTGTTGCTTTTGCAATTGCTTCCTCTTCAGATTCTGAATAGCTGCTTGCAATTTCTAATGAAACAGAATGCAGTTCAATTCCAATAGTCCTTACAAACAAAGATACAACCTGATCTTGCCGTGAGTTTCATTTGTATCTGAGCAGTGTGGGATATTCCCCTGGGCTTATGCAGCTTAAGGTTTCTGTCATGGTTTTATCTTCTTTCTAGATTAAGAATGCTCTCTGTGCATTCTTTGCTCAGTATAGAGCTAAAATAAAACTTGGATTTTGTATAAAGACATGAGACCTTCTCAGCTAAACTGCCTCTGTAAAAATAGCATTAAGAGTCTATCTGAACTGGGCCTAAGACCAGCTAAAATGTAGTTGAGAACATGTTCAAAGATTTCAGTCTTGCTGGGATTTTAAGATTTTATAATCCTGGCAATTTGAAGACGCTGTGAATTCCTGTCCTTTGTTAGAATTGATCAGGACTGCCCATCAGGTTAAGAATGAGTTTGGAGAGACTGTCTGCAAATTATTTTTCTTATTTTTTTAAATTTGCATATGTATGCAAATTTGCATGATACATCTATGTACATATACAAGATCTGTCCGTTAAGTGCAAGAAGTAGCAAGTTGAGATCCAGCAGTATAGTAACAAAAGAATAACAGATAGTGAACTGAATTCTTCACTTTTTCCCTGCAACTTTATCTCATTAATGAATTACAATTCTGTTGTTCTAGTGTAGCGACACAACTGAAACAGAGAATCCTGGTTCTGGTACCATTGAGGTAATCCAAGTGTATTTGGGGCCTGTGAGCGTAAATGCCAGCTCTAGTGCCCCTTGGGTGAGGATTTTTGTGTATGAAATCCTGGCTTTGATGCTCTTGGTTATGTCTGCTGTTTTTCTGGAAGGGGCCAGGAGTGTAAATACTGGCAGTGATGCCTGAATCGTGAGTCCTGCTGTGCTAAAAACTAGGAATGTGAATATTCACACTTAGTGCCTGCTGGAGTGTAGACTCTTCAGCAGCTGGAGTGTGGAACTGAATTCTGGCTGTAGTACTCTGGAGTGTAGAGTCTGCTGGGAATGTGGTCCTAGAATTTGAATGTAACTCTAAAAAACAAACAACAAAAAAAAAGTTGAGAGAGAAAAAAGGAAAAATCTGGATTCACACTGTCTCTACAGCGCACCCGTCCTCTGTCTGCCAGTGATGCTGAAATTAAAAACCAGATGCCTTCAGGCAGGGAAAAAGCAACAGGAAGGCAAGGCAGCTCTGTGCTAGGTCTCTCCATGGAGGAGGTAAGTAGGCTATTAAATATCTTTTATTTGCCTTGGCTTTCATGCAGTATGTGGGGTTATTTGCTCAGCAAAGAGCAAGTGCTTGTATATAAAAAACATGACAGAAGTAGTACAATTTTTGAAACAGAACTGCTGAGTTTTACTGCTGCTACTGCCTGCGCCCTCAGTCATGCCACACATACTTATGTGCTCCAAGCAGTGATAGACTCCTTCAGACTTTCAATGGAAGGTAAAATTGCTTAAGGATATCGTATGTACCTAGCCCACTCCCAGGACTGCAGTAATAGTCTTGTCGTCTGAAACTCAGAGATTTTTTTTCTAGGGTTCGTTTTTCCTTGTATCTAATTTTGCTGGCTACTTTTTTTTCCTTTTATTACAAGATAAAAGTTCTTCGTCGAGTGAGAGAGGAAAACGAACGGAGAGGAGGCTTCATCCGGATATTCCCTACCGCATTAACATGGGACCTTTATGGGTAAGGTTAAGAAGGATGGCTGAGTGTTGCACTGATGCTCTGTGTTGAGGGATATTCTGTGTTAGGTATATGTAGATCAACCAGCTTGGCACTCAGAAAAACACATATTGAGGGTTTTGGTAGAGTTTATTTTAGTATTGAGGATGCTTTTTTCTGATCCCTTGGTTTTAACTGCTGCTGCTTTGCCTAACTGCACCTCATGGAAGGCTATCAAGCATTGTTTCTGATGTTGCTTTTCTGTTAGAATAAAAATGTCTTTGCTTCAGATAATCCATTTCTGTTATCTGCTTTTACAACCTAGAGCTGCACATGCTGTGTACCCTGTCATTAGGCCGTAAACACAATATAGGACTCATCCTGTGAGCCAATACTATATTACACTTTTTTAATTTTTTTTCCAGTCTGTAATGTTTCTCTATGTCTCTTGCCTCACTAGGAACTTCAGCTGAGAAGTGATAGGTCTCCTCCTTTCCTCTTTTCTGTTATGGTACAGCATATTGTCTCAATCCACTTCTGGGATTTTTTTAAAAGATCATTTATTTCTGTATTATGCTGCCTTTCATTGCATTGAGCTCTATCTTGATACATCCTGTATTTTATTTTTTCTAGATCCTTTTTAGAGCACAAGACATCAATGAACTACATGCTAGCTACACGTCTGTTTCAGGACAGGTAGAAAGCTTTTCTATTTGGGAGGGAGGCAAAGGGCGCAAACAGCATGAAAAGGATTGATTCTGCACTTACCCAATGTTATAAACACCGCTCTGTGATTTACAGGGGTGGGAACAGTTGCGCTTCTCTAGTGTGCCAGTGACTGTGGAGTTTTCTCACATTTTTACATGTGCTTCTGAATCCAAGGGCAAAAAGGACAATACACAAAAGACATGGGAGTCACTGGAGTAATAAGATGACTATAGACATGAAAAACCTTCAAGCACCTAGATTTCTCTATGAAGGGATTATAAGTGGTCCTTGCTTACCTTTTGTTTCAAATTTAAAGTCACATTAGAGCTTGTCCGCATGTAAAGTAAGCCCTGAAACTTACTCCAAAGGTTTAGTATCCCTGTTTCTTGAGCTGTGCAAGTGTGATTTGATGCCTCTTTCTCTGGGTTGTGCTTGGGTGGAAATGACAGTTCATGCCACTAGCTGAACTTCCACTGAGAGTTGTATGCCATATCTTTCACTGTATGTTTAACATCCTTCCTTCTCAATGGTTTTTCTTATCCAAATTTGAGACCCACAATAAAGTAACTACAGAGTAAGGATAAGATTGCTGACTGAGGAGACAATATTTACAGAAGCTTTTCTTGCATCATAGCTGTACAATTTTTTATTTATTTATTTTTGCTGTGTACTTTCAGGAATGTGTGTAGAGGGTAGCTCCAAATGACACCTTCTCCAATTTAAGCCACACAAATGCAAGCATCAAACAACTGCTCAGATTTCTTCTTTTGGAGCCTTTTTTTCCTTCTTTAAGATAGAATTCACAAGAAATTTTGTAAATTTGGCCTTTTCATTGTACATATTAAAGATTTTGGAGGCTTTTTAATCCAGTTGATGATCTAGAATGGAAGGTAATTTCTGCTGTTTTTCCCTTTGTAGGAGCAAGATGAAAAGAGACTTCATCACTGGAAGATCCCGGTAAATGGCTTCTTAATTAAATAATTTGTACTTTGTAGGATTTAATCTAAATTTAGATTTCCACAGCTTCATCTTCCAAGTCCTAGGTCAACACCTCTTCTACCTGAAATTCATCAAATGAATTTTAGAAAAGTAAATTCAGCGAGCAAAGAGTATCCTAGCATGTGGAGAGCTTAAGTTTTGTTGGATTGGACCTTAAAATTGCTCCTCTTAGGCTTTCTACTTTGGCACTCCTACCATATTGATAAGCCTTTTCACTGAGCTCTCTCAAAAGATCCCATGAGGGTTTTGGACTTCATATACCCATATATTCACTTGGCTAGATCTAAAAGATAAATGGAGCAACAGGAATTTTCTGTGGATGTTCCCACTTATATCATGAGGAGCACTTTGCTGGATGTTTGTGCACTGGCAGAAAGTAATTATGTTTGTCTCCTTTAAGGAATCTGGTAGGGCTCCTTCTCCCTCGGTTTAGGCATAATTTGTAGAAGGGTTGTTATTTTTCACCTAGATTACGTTAAAATTCTCACCTCTGATCAAACAGAGAAGAACAAGCTGTCTACATAGAAGGTTTGTTTAGAAGACTGGACTTGGGTCCATGTGCTCTCTTCCCACTCCCCTCTGTTTTATATTCTTGCAATTCAATTTTCCCTATTAATAGTGCCTTGAGCTGCTGCACAATGGACAGATGGTGCTCAGTCACGAAAGCATGACACTAGATAAGTGTGTTTTGGGGCTTTGAGAGATGATGTTCTGTAAAGTACTTGCAAGACTCCCTTCAAACATTTGGAGGCCTTAAATAGAGAAAAGTTAGACTGATCATAAATATTTCTTCCCTGTGTCAGGAAAACTGTTTCTTGAAGAAATTTGATCTACTATGTCTCTTGCATCATCAGGGAGAGAAGTTTAAAGGGAGATTGAGAGTGTCTCTCTATTATGCTTCCCAGAGCAGGTCTTAATGGAAGGCTGGATACGAGGCTGGAAGCTGTAGACTCTCATGCTCTCTTTTATGAGAGAAAGCTTGTTTCACTGGAGTTACGGAAGCGCCGGCGATGTCATGGCAAGGCTAGAGCAGCAAGGACAAGATCATCAGGTATGTATGGCTAGAGTCTTAGATGAGCAGCTAAAAACCAAGCAAGCAATGACTTTTTCATTTGAAACGTGTGTGAATGGGGTTGTTCTGGCCTTTGTAGTCCCTAAAGAGATTCACGGTTAAAGTTAATAGTTTTAATTTCAAGTGTTAATAGTTTTCACTTCATTCTTCTTCTGAGCTTCCTGCCTTCTTAGTGCCTAGAATTTCATTCCCACCATTCCACATCCCCATGTATATGACTAAAGGTACAAGAATTCAACAGTATGTGTGCCTCTCTAGTCCTCTAGGTTTTCAGAGAAAGATGAAAATTTGGGACCTTCCAGGCTGGTTCTGCTACACAGCAGTGACTCTAAGCTGTTGGAAAAAGAAAAATCCTTCTTATCCAAGCTGATGTAGGAAAAACTTAAAAGGGTACAGAGGTGAATGATCCTCATAAGTGGCTGTTCATGAAGCCATTCTCTAAACTCTTTCTTAGTAGCTATGTGATACAATCTCTTCCATTGCAGTCAGTATGTTATAAAATGATTTTTGGTGCTGTGTTAAGGTATGTGATCTTTATTGGCACATATGGAAGTTTAGATTTCATAGCTTTTGTTTTTTCTGACATACAAAAATGAGTGTATATGTCAAGTATGAGTGTATACGTATGTCAGTATATATGTAAGAATCAGGATAAAATATAGGAAAATGCATTTGTGTTTTTCTTTTTTCCAATTGTAAAGTTAAGATAAGCATCTTGGTCTGTCTTCTCTGATACTGGGAAAACAAGCTTCTCAACTGTTTGATGTACAAGCAGAAAGAATAATAAAGGGCAGCGATACTTAAGATGCCATTCTAAAATGGTGGTGTTCTGTCCTTCTAGCAGAAAAGAGTTTAGAAGTAAACCAAAGCGTATAAATAGTAGGACAGTCTTCCCCACTTCTTTTTTTTTTCTTAACCAGCATAGGTGATTTCCCCTCTACTACAGGGACATCAGAACCAGCAAAGCTGTCCCTCAAGTCAGAAACAGAAGATGAGGAAGAAGGGGAGGTGGATGCAGATGAAGATGAAGAGCTAGATAGAACGGTTGGTTCTCTTTCGGACACCCAGATGAAAAGCAAGCCAAAGCTGTCTGACTTGGTGAAAACTGCTTGTGAGGAGAAGTTGCCAAAAACACTTGACAAGAAAACTGGAGATGGAGGAGAGCTGTTTCCTCGGAAAACAGACTCAGAACCACAGTTTAACTTGCTGCAGATTCTTCAAAAGCATGGAAACCTGAGGTGAGACATTTCTGCATATTGCCTTGAGTTTTGACTAGCAGCTGATATTGGTTAAAATATAGTGGATGTACACTTAGTGCCACATTATGAATAAATGTGAGGAGATAAAAGCACCCTAGAGAAAGGGGCCTGTATTTTTGTCTAACTGGGGGCTGCCTTAACAACTAGTTGGCACAGAAGGGAGATAGTTGCAAAGACTAACAGTTTACCTAAATGCCTGACCGGTTGGATCGGTATAAAGCATAAGCCATAGTTTTAATTGCTATTCTTTAATCTGGTGATGTAAGCTGTTCTTTGGTCAACTCGAGCTTCTAAAATGCCTCTCTGTCTTAATGCAGGATTCCTGCTATTGAATTCTAAAATTTGTCTTTTCTTTGCATTTCCAAAGAAGTGGGTATAAACATATGTTAAACTATCCAAGAAAGATTGGGTAGGAATACCTCAGTACTGCTTCTCCATAAAATTAGTTTTCTCATTTTTGTGCTTTTATTTTTGGTGATAGAATTTTTACCTCTAATAATCATATCTGCTCAAGGTCATCACCTCTTGAGAGCAAGACAGGAGGTCATTTGAGAGTGACAAATTACTGAAACATCTCATTGCTTGCTGTTGAGTATGATGGTGTGGAGCAGAGTGTGTTGTCATGCATGGCTCTGTTGCTTGAAAAAATAAAGAGGGATGCTGGAGGAGATTTGATAGAATAATACCAACCACGGTCTTACTAGATGTTTAGAAGTGTGATCCTCCCCCTAAATGTGGGTAGTAAAACCATCTGGTTTTCAGATGGACAGGGAGGGCAAAAAGAGAGTGATCATATATATCTGTGTAGGAGGATTTAACATCATCTAGATAAGAAGCAGCATTATGTTTTCTGTAAAAAATCTCCAAATGTAGAGAAAATAATTGTTGCTTGTTGTTGTTTTCTTAGTTTAGTTTCTGAGAGGATTTATGAATTATCAAATGGATTTGGGGATTGTTCTGATGTCTCCTTGTGACAAGGACATTTGCTGTCGTGACAGGGAAAATTCTGAAACCTGTTTTGAGGACAAACGTAGCAATGCTGTCTGTCATCTACCTATATATAGAACTGACTCCTGCCAAGAACATGAGCTCTGTCTGATGTTCCTGGCAGAATCTTGCTCAGCACCCAGTACTGTTGGGATTCCCCACAGAAGTAAGGCTTGTGGTAACCTCATGTTCTAGGATTGTGCTGGGCTTGGGCCCATCTGACCTGTCATGGATGAAAGCTTTGCTTGTGGGCTCAACAGGCAGAGGAGCTGAAGTAATGAAATTTTCATCCAAAAGAAACCAGGCCTGTTCCAGTCAGTTTTTGTAAGCGGTAGGACTTCTCGCTCTCCTTTAGTTGGCCTGATGAGGCAATTTCTCTGCCTTCTACATGTTGGGTGTTACTGGTGAAGAGGTAACAGTCAAATGAAGCGTGTTCCTCTAGCTGTGCCATTCCCAGGGAGGTAAAAAGAAAAAGGAGTTACTTGTTACTGCATTTAAGGCCTCAGGTTTTGATATTCCACACACCAGAGGAGAGGCAGTGTTATACAAGGGCCTTCTTCAGTTTCCCATTTTGTAATCACAGAAGTATCAGGTGCCAACAAAGAGTTGTATTAGTGTGTTGATGTTGATAACAGGGGGTCCTTAATTCCTACTGGCATAAATATTGAACTCCTGGTCATGAGATGTTTGAGTTATACCTAAAACAAGCCTGGCAGCCCTAGAGAAGCCCTCAGAGGAGAGCCTTTTCTGATATACGGTAGCCTGATGTATAGAGTGTTAGCTCTTAGAGGTCAGAGTGTTCTGATGTTCCACACATGTGGGAAGAGAAGGTAGGGGTGGTGACTAGCAGCATACAGAGCTCAGAGGTGTTACAAGGCCTGCTGTGCATTCTGGAGCTCACTGGAAGACAGGAATTGTAACCAGGTATTTTTATCGTGTTTTACTTAACTGCAGTAGTGGTACAGCTATCTACAGAGCATGTTAGTTTGAGACTCTTGTGGACTCATCATTTGCTTAGCCCGTCTTTGGACCTGGCATGGTCTTCCAGAAGCATCAAAAGCTAATGATTAAGCAGATGCATGGATACTTTTAATGTATTTTATTTTAACTTCAATTCTTATCTAAATTGATGCATTGATCTCTCTAAGTGCTACTATGTTGTATGATTTTTATGTAACGCTGTAACAAAGTGTTCATGAAACTTACAGACATATAGAACAGGAAGACTAAATTTCTGGACAGAGTTTTTAATGAAATTTCAGGGACTCATGTACATGGAGTCATGAGGACCATATAGGCATCTGAGAATATTCCTAAGAAGCAGAGAACAAGTAGAGGAAAAAATGGTGAGGTTCCTCGGGAATCAGTCTGAAGCTGATTTTAACAATCAACTCAAGAATGGCACAAAATGTAGAAATGTGCTAATGAAATATGCTGATGGAAAAGATTTGGGAGTTATTACCATGACAGAAAAGTAGTGGAATAAATATGGGAAAAGCTGGATGACCTTGAGAACAGGAATAATGTAACTAGGATGAAATTCAGTAGCACAAAATGCAAGGGCATGCTTTTAAGAACTAATGATTTGCAGCAGAAATTCAACTGGGTGTTCATCAACTGGAAACTAATTATAAGGAAAAAAATATCTTGCATGCTTGTTGATCACAGGAGGTTTGTGAAGCTCTAGCTCATATGTGCAGGAAAACACCAAATGTGGTCTACAGTTTATCACTTAAGATACTTCTGAGACTTCATGTGGAATGTTGTACACAGTCGCTATCACCCATGTTCATGGAAAGTAAATTGTAACTGGAACAGGTGGAGATGAGCTGCTAGTCTCATCATGTCACCAGTGTGGGTGCTTTGTTAGAACACACTGAAAGATGTGGATAGTTCACAGTAATAAAATGAAAATTATGAAAGGATGTAATTGCTGTTAATAAATACGTTCAAGGTAGGAGACCCACCAGGGATGAAATTATTTAAGATACAGGACAATGTTGGAGAAAGGAAAAAGTAAATATAAACTGCTCATGAATGAAGCTAGTCTGGATAGTAAAAGAAGGTTCTTAATTATTAGAACAGTAAGTCCTGGAATATTATTCTAGAAAAGTAATGGGTTGAAAACTCTAGTTTGTTTTAAGATGAAACTTGATAATTTTATAGAAAAGATTAGGACACTGCCTGTGATAGAAGGGGCATCTGTCACTGACACTAAAGCTCGTCTGCTTCTATGTCCTTATGAAATGGAAAGGAGAAATCATGCTTGGCAATGCAAAGGACAGCTTGTAGCAACTGTGGGGAAAATTACGAGGAAGAGTGGAGACTGGGAGAGCAGAATATTGGAGGAGAGGGCTTAGGCCAGGGTGACAATGAGCAGAATTTAGGCAAAGCTTACATCTATTTCTCTCACAAGACTCATATGCTAAACTGACTACCATTGTGAGGGAATAAGAAGCAATGTGTCCCTCCCAGTCCTCTCCTCAGTTCGTGCTCATAGCTTCCCAGCATATTCAGACAGCTGCACAGCAGATTTTGCTGATGTTCTTTCATTCTTCAGTGGTGCCTTGCTCAATGAAATTTGGCTTGTGTCCTTGGGCCAGCAGGGGAAGAGCTCACTTTCGCAGATTTAATTCTTTCGTGTCCAACGGGAATTGCAGGGCCTTTGTTATAACTCTGGCACTAGTACCAAGCCCTTTATTTATTTTATGGTCTGTTGTTGTGGTGTTCAAAATGCTTGTGAAGACAGAGACCCAAGAGAGCCTTGAATTTGGTTTAATAATACACAGTTTTGCTGATGTTCATGTTATTGGCTTTTGGAGGAGAGTAGCTAAGGCTGTAAAAAGGCAAGGAGAGCATTCAATTTCTAGATATGATCTTAAAACTTAGAGAGCATATGCTGTCTTTTGTATGTCTTGCAATATTTACCCCATCTTGGTTAACTGCAGGTCTACTTGAAAATACTGGTGGGGTAAAGGGATCCTCCTTCCCTTGAGCTTCAACATTTGTGAATCTAGGAGGTCCTTGCTGACCGTACTTTGGTCCATAAGCTCTGCCTGACTGCTGTAACTCTTCTGTTACTAATCTGAATATAGCTGACAGATTCTTTTGGTCCACAGCAAAGTGCAAGCTCGCAGGGCTTTCTCTGCATATCTACAGCACGTTCAGTTGCGATTGATGAAGGAAGTTGGTGACCAGATCCAGAATCCTGTCTGGGCTGCCAAAGAGGATGAGCAAATGGTAAGAAGCTTTGTGTTGGCCAGACTGAGAAGCCAAGCTGAAATCTGCCTTGCAAGTTTTGAGGTCAGTTCCCATCCTTGGAAGAGCTGAAGTCCAACTGAGATTATAATTATCTATCTTTGTCCAGCTGCCAGTGCTGCATTTTTAATATACAGACAAGGTAGGACTGCTGACTGACATCTGAGCAGTGATAGAGTAGACAGCTTTTAATGACTAGAGTGTGGTTGACATACAAGCTGCTCAGATCTCTCACTGGTTCTTCTTCACTGATCTCTGAGGTTACCTGCTTTTGAAGTCTTTTCTCTAAAATTCTTTAAGATTACTTGACAGTATCTGGGTTCTGCTGCATTAAACAAAGCATACATTTACTCAAATAGAACAGGTACCCACTTAACCTTTTTCTCCTATGTACTGTTTTAGTCTTTGCAGGCATCTGTGCTTAGGAGGAAAAAAAAAAAGTAAAAGCCACTGAGGAGAGAAAGTTACTCTAGTATAGGTGTTTTGTTTTGTTTTTAAAACCATGTGGTGAATTTTTCTAGGCAGTATTTTAAGGCCCTATATTTGATGTATGTACATGTTAAAGAGTGCAGCAAGCCAACATCCCCTCACAAACCTTCCTAAAAGAGCTTTGTACAGCAGGCTCTTGAGCTTTCTGAAAATTCAAATGTACTCTTGCTGAATGCGTGTTGCACGGAAACAGCCAGTGCAGTTCAGAGATAAAATTATGTGTCAAGAATAATCAGTCGACTCAGTGGAAAATGTTACCCCTGCTCTTTCCAAGTGGAAATTAAAACTGGCTTTTTGAGAGTCACTTTGTCTGCTGTACTGTGAAAAATAATGTTTAAAATAACAGATCAAACCAGCCTGGAGTAATGGCAGTGAGAGGCGAGCTGTGAAATCCAATAGTTTGGCTGTGAGGCTGCTCATTTATGCATTAGCAGAGCTCCTAACCAAAAGCAAATCCAGAGGGGAGACAGAAAGGGTTCAAAACACCCCCAGGATGTATCTCGCTTTAGGATCTGCCTTGCCATATGTTTCACCCACCAGAGGTCAAACAGACAGGGTGGGGGATTGGAATTACATGGCTGTAGATGTAGTCATCTGTTGCTGTGGAGTGGCAATAGTATACTTATAAAAGTGATGAAATGGAGCTGCATCACTGTAGTGGAGATATCTGACCAAGATTCCCTTCCCTGTGACAGTGCTGATTGGGTTTTATGTCAGTAGCTTCATCACAGGCCTTCTTTAACACCTTACAGGTTGTGTTTTTTGGAAATGTTCTTCTAAGGTGTTGGACCTCACAGATTATTCTGTGTTGTTACTCCTTTTTCCTGATGGTGTGGGTTTTTTTTTTCCCCCCTCTTAATCTGCCGTGCTTTTCAGACAAACACTCCTTAAGCGCTTCCAATTCTGACTCACCTCAGGCAAGGCACGCTATTGTTCTTCTTCTCCCGCCTTGGATTTGTAGGGCTATCTCAATGCACATTGCAGAATGCTCTTGTCTGCCAGTTGTCAGCTCATTTTCTCAGGACAGCGTGTTTAGTTCTTGCCGGTCATTAGCTGCTGTAGTACCTCTGTTCTCCCCGCACCTTGCAGCTAGTCCATTGTTAACTCCATCTCTCTTGCTTGCAGGAGCTTGTGGTACGCTTTCTGAAGCGAGCTGCCAGCAATCTTCAGCAGTCCTTGAGGATGCTGCTCCCCAGCCGTCGTCTAGGACTAAATGATCGTCGTCGTATCCTGGCTCACCAGCTGGGCGAGTTCATAATCTGTTATAACAAGGTGACTGATTGTTTCTTGATTTTTCTTTTGGTAGCTCTTTTGGTATCTCCTGCTAGCTGCTGTCACAGTCAAGACAGCAGGCTGTTTTAAAGGCTCTGTTATGTAATTTACGTGGTCTGTTTGCAGTTGCGCATTCAGTAATGGTAGTTTGTCTGTTCAAATTGTCAGATAACAGTATTACTACATTATATATGCAGTCCAGTAATCATGTGCATAAAAGTAAAAAGAAGTGTTGAAGTGGAATTTAACTGGCAGTTTGCTTTTTCTTTGGCTTGTCTTTTGATTCTAGTGCTTTGTAATGCCTCTTCCCATTTCTCCCTAATTTTATGATGCTTCTTTAGAGATAATTTTTTAAAGACAGAACAGTATGAAATATATATTTTTACCATTTGTTTGATATACTTAGGGACTGCTACCTGTCTGTAGTAGGGACTCTGCATGCTCAGTGATGAGGAGTAGATCCTAATTTAAATAATTTTCCCCTTTTTAGATGTAGAAGATGCTGTTCTTAGCATAGTGGTTTCATGCTAATCCTTGTTTTGCAAGAACTGCTTCCCCTTTCCTTTGCCCTCTAGCATTTCTCTGGTGTTAGAACAAGGATAGTTTAAGTTCTGCTTTCAGAGGCTGCTGTGCATGCAGGCCTCCTGCTCCTTAGTAGAGGATGTTCACTTACATTACCTTGTCAGAACTAATGATTGGTAACTTGATCTGTCAAAGCAAGGTTGGTATTGAACCAAATCTGTTTCAGGGAATGCCTTGTATGCCTAATGCTCGCTGAATTACTGTGTTAGGAGTAACCACAAGACACTCGGGTGGCTCTGTGGTGAGTGAAGAACACAGCTGCTTTGGATATAATTTCCACTCAAATTGTACTCGTACATCAAGATTTTCTGCTAACTCTTGAGTAAATTCACAAAATAAAGCTGTGTAACTGGTAATAAATCTCTGCATAAACATATTTTCTCAGTTAAAACAAGTGAGAACAGATCACTTGAGGTTTTAGGATGTACATGTTTAAGCCATTGAGAGACTTTTAGGCTATGAGGCTTTTTTGATGTATGATTCCAACATATAGACTTCTTTCACTGACTTGTAACTTCAGATTTAGTAGGGGAGTCCTCCATTATGTATCTTCTGTAATGACACAGAAGAAAAAATACTACCTCCAGCAAACTAACTAAAACCAGATCACATATTGCCCAGACTTTTACTCATGTAGCAAAGGATAGAGACAAGTCCTAGAGTGGCTTTTTCTTCCCCCTCTTGAGTTATCTTTCAAAAGGTGTATCTGACCCTTTCATCCTGGGAATGCTCAGAGTACCAGTAGGAAGCAAAGAAATGGAGGCCAAGTCTGGTCAGATAAAGCTTGTATGCTAGTAGTGGTATTTCAGACAGGCCTTGAGGGTTTTTTAATTAACAAAAACATGTATCAATACAGCCGCTAGTGTCAACAGGTTCTACTGGTGTAAAATAGAAAGATCACTCATAGCTGAGAGCTTGCTCCCCTTCTCACACACAAAGGTTTGCCATCTTTTATTCCTATATATTTTAGTGTATAAATGCATATTTGCCATAGGCTGTACTGTTTTACTTACTTTGCTTTTGCTAAAGCAATATAGTTCTGGTATGTAGATAAGCCCTCAGCAATTTGCTGCATGAGAAGAGAAACTAACTCAAGATGATAACTCCTAGTTTACAGTAGGAAATGTGGATGCCCTCAGCACACCTCCTTAACTGAGTTTCTTTAATATATTTTTGTCCTTGTTTCTTCCTGAATATCTCCTCTTAGGACAGATGCTCAAATAAAAGCTATTTTGAGGAACACTGTATTTGTGACAGAAACGGCAAAAGTAGAAAGAGGACCTAATATCTGTAAAGAATGATTTTCATTAATTTTTTTTTTCCCTCCATACTTCCTTATGTCCCAGCAAAGACCATATTTGAAGGAGCAGCATGTATTTGTGAAAACTTGACCTCTTCTCAGCAAATCAATTCTAATAAGTTTTGTCAGGTGGAGGAATGAATAGTTTAGTGTATGTTTAGCAAGCTGTCTCTGGGGTGCTCTATATTTATCCATTCTGTTACACATAGTGAAATACTTATAATTTGGCTCTTTGGAGTTGATGTTCTTTTTTCTTGGATCCCATGGAATTGTTTTTTGTCTTCTCTGAGCTGTAGCTATGCCATGGAACATCAAGTACCTACATAGAGACACTTACTGATACTGGTTATTAACAGGAAACGGAGCAGATGGTTCAGAAGCAATCAAAAAAGAAACAGGAAGAGGAGGAAGAGGGAGTGAATCCTGAAGGTTTTCAGAACTTTATTACCAGAGCAAGGTAGGAATGGATTTTACTCCTTTTGATAAAGGAGCTCCCAGCCCTGAAGGTGATGGGATTGTTCTAAAGATGATTTGATTGATCTAAAGGCCTCTAGATACCTCTATTGACTGTAGCACCTGCTCCTGCTCTTGCTGGAGGACAGAGAACTTGTCTTTTCTCTTTTCTCCCTTCCAGCAACCAAATGCTTGTAGCATCAGTATCTGGAGCATAGAGAAGGACATACAATAGATGTTTTGACCATTAAGTAGATTCCCAAAGGACAACAGTGGTTTCCCTGGTCTGTGTAAATTTCAAAGTGATACTGGTGAGCTAAGGATCTCCCTTCCCGTGATGCTGGAGCAAACATGGCAGTACATAGGAAGGAGAATGAAACTAGAGCTGCTGCTTGGATGGCCTTGAGCTGCTGTGGTTGAACAGTTGTTGTGGCTCTGGCTCTCAAGTTTTTGCTCTCAGAAACAAATTTCATGCTTGCTGCGTCTCTTCAGGAACTCTCCAGGTCTGGATTTTGAGATGAGGAAAGGAGTTAGACTGCCTGTCTTCATCCTAGCCTCTTGGCTTGCTAAGGCAGTTCAGTGCAAGCAGTTACTTTCACAATGAAAAAACAGCATTTTCTAACTGTGCATGCTCTGAACTTTATCTGCTTAAACTTACAAGAGTCTGACAGGAAGTGTATTTTGAAAATTGGTAAATACTCCTTATGGCCTGTAGCATTGTATGAAAAAACAATGACGTTATAGCTATCTGACTATGGAGAGGTCTGAAATTATTCAGGGAACTGGAACTATGTCCTCAAAGTCTCTGATTCTTGAGTACAAAACCCAATTCCTTTTGACCCATATATGACATGCCTACATGGGCAAGGACCCCTGTCAATATCTGGAAGGTAGAGTTTACCTGCCTTTTTAATGCCCTTCTGTTTCTTCGGTAAGGTTGACAGGCACTGCTTCTTTTTTGTGATCAGTTATGAAACCGTTCTTTCTTTTTCTCTGTTTGGATAGCACTGTTAGAGACTGATTAGAAATGAGTGATAGCTGGGGCTTCTTAACTAAGTCCAGGAGGCTTCACAGTCTCTTTTGATGCTACATTCTCATGAAAACAATGAATTTTACCTTTTGCTCATAAAATTGATGGAGTCATTACCACAACAGATTTACAGCCTCCAAGAAAAATCTCACTGCTTTTCACATAGAGTTCTATAAAAGAATGATACTCAATATGTCTGACTACCATATACCTTAGAATCTACTCCTGTCAGTAGAAATGCAGATTACGTGTGCCCACTTGCATGCTCTTGGTTCTCTGACATCTCTGGCCACTGAAATGACTGTTGCCTCCTAGGGCAGGTCATTTGGCTGTTTGCCAGAAATGCTAAGAGATGGCTGTTTGGGGCAGAACTGCATATTCTTCTGTTTCCGTGTTATTGGCTACCATGCCATCATGGCCTGACGCACAGTCTAGGCGGGTTCTGGAGATTTTTGCTGGATCATCTGCCTGAGTGATAAAGAGCAGCAAAAGCCAGTTTGCCAACGATCAGACCATTTCTAGTGATGATCTTTCTGCTTCTTAGGAAGTATCAGGTATGTTTGAAAACTCTGATGCTACTTTGCGCTGTGCTTGAAGTTTAAATTGGTGAGCTAGTCATTTGGGGCCAAGTAAAGGGGATAGATTTACACTTTGAGTGTTTGTTCTGTAGTACAATGAATGCAACACTGGACAACATGGGTGAGAACTGTTGCCACTTAGTAATTGGGATTATATCATTGACTCTCTAACTTTGATATCATATGGATGGCATTGTGTTTAGTTATACACATGCTACAACCATTGCTTCTAAACATCCTCAGTGCAATGTAAAAGTACATATTTATGCTGGTAAATTCACTTAAAAGCTTAAAGCACCTTTCCACCAACAACTTTTTATTCTTACATTTCCTCTTCACCTCTATTCTCATTGGTTTGGGAAAAAAGGTGAACTTTGCAGCATGCCCTGAAGGTCCAAACTCCAGTGGGATCAGCTTTAGACGTTGCTTTTACCAAAGCTCAGGCTAGCTAAGACTAGTACAACTGTGATATGCAGAGGACATTTTGAAGGATTTTAACTGCTGCTCTGCAAACTTATATTCCTGTGTTATGTTTTCTTGTAGTGTTGCTGGCACTACTTGCTTTTGGTGTTTGCTCTGCCATATACCCACTTACTAATGCTGAGGCAACACTATAAAGCAAAAGGAAAGCATGCTAGATATCAAAACAATTAGAATTACAGTTTGCACAAGCTCTAATATGAACGGCCAAGTAGCTGATACTGGTTTGGGACCAATAGATGCTTAGGATATTGGGGCAGTTAAACTCTCTTCTTGTAAAGAAAACAAGAAATGTATGCAAGTTTTGTGAGATTCACAAAAATATTGACTGTTCTGTTTAGCCAAAACTGCAGGACAATTAACAAGCTCTTCTGTCCTTTCCTCTCCCCCCCGCCCCCCCCGCTGAATTGAAACTACTAACAATGACTGTAAAACAGAGGGTGAGCTGAGTTCTCTCATGAACAAGATAGCTGCTTGTTCTAGAGAGCACTTGGGGAAGACTGACAAATTTAGCTGTGAACGGAATCTCTCCTGTTGAGCTGATCTCCCCAAATATGTGTTTGGAGTTTTCACTTGCTCTTTACTTATCTTGGGAAGGCTCCTGAATGACTTGAATTTTCTACTGCATGAGAAAATGGCATTTCAGTGGGAATCTCAGGTTTAATCAAGGCATGTTCCTTTCCTTCTGCTCTTACCCTGCAGAACTGAGCAAATGATTAGCTTGTTTGGCCTCACCTTTTTTCCCCACTCCCCTCTTCAGTCTCCTTATTATTTCTTGTCTTTGATAGTTACATGAACACAGAAAAGCTTAGAATCCTCTCTTATGTCCATTCTTCTCTTACTGTAGTGAAAGTGACCTGGAGGAAGTGCTGACATTTTACACACACAAAAACAAGTCCGCGAGTGTCTTCTTAGGAACAAACTCCACGAGCACAAAACCCAGCAACACCAGTAACCAGTCAGAGAAACAGCATCAAGGAGGTAAGTCTTGCAGGCAATTCTGAGATATGTTCCCCAGACAAATCCAGTTTAACTTCAGTCTATGGAAAGAGAACAAGCCCTCCAGAATGTTATTCAGGTTTCTTGAGGCTGCATATCTCAGTGGGGTTTTTTTTTGTTGTGTTTGGTTTTTTTTTTTTTTTAAACTGACTCTATGTGTGAAGACTGGAGTAACTGCACTCCTGCATTCTTTGCCTGAAGTGAAATAGTGAAGTGGGATAAATCTGGACTAGCATTTGTAGGGAACTAGATAGGGTGGCTCATGACTGAAGTGAGAATGTGCAAACTGAAGGCACTGAAATTTGAAATGAACAGAGAATCCCAAAATCAGAAAGGGATGAGAGGAATCAAGGTCTGTTAAATTGTGCTGCCTACAGTGAGCATACCCATTGGAGTCTATATATTTGAGCCTAACTAGACGTTCCATGTAAGGAAGTGCAGTGCCAGCCGTATGTGTTCAGTAGTCCATGACAGTACAATTGTGTCTACAGTAAATATTAGCAAGAAAGTCCATTGTAACAAAGTTTAAATTCTGTAGTCCTGTTCTAATGATATCACAGTTTGCATTGTTCTATTTCCTAACTCCTTGATTTTGTTAAAGAGCATCCTGAAGTGGTGAAAAAAATAAAAGGTGATAAGCTCAAAATTTCAGTTGCAGATCTGCCTGCAGAAGGAGTATTCAGAGGCTATAAATCCAAAGAAGTTAAATCAGCCTGTAAGTGAACTGGCTTAAATCATCATCAAGAAAAAAATAATGAATGCATATACTATTTTTAATACGGTTTTAAACGAAGCTTGGAACCTTTGGGTTCAAACTGAGGGATTCAAAAGCCCAATTTTGAGGAAGATTCTGCAGGTTTTTCTTTTAAACCCAAGAGAAGGTACTGTAGAGTGAGCAATATGGAAGAAGTTAGCTGCTCTTTTGTGGAGGAAGATCTAGATATGGCAAGCTTTGAAAGAGGATATTCATCATGTAGAGCTGCTTCTTGTCTTTGCTGGCAGATGAGGTTGTTTTGGCTTCAGTGTGTCTGAGTAGAGGCATCTTTGGTGTGTTGATATTATCCAAAGGACCTGAAAAGCAGCTTTTTCTCATGTAGTGTACTCATTATCTTTGTGTAGTTCCAGAAGGAACCACCTTCTCTATAAATGCTGAAGTGAAATTACCTCAGTGCGGCCCTCCTAGTGCTTCGTCCTCTGTTTCTGGTGCCATGTTCCAGAGAAGTACCAGTTCCTGGATACCATCGCAGCCTGCAGCCTCTGAAAATTCACAGGCGCCTGGTCACCATTTGTTGCCAGCTCCTCCAGTTGGTCCCAGGCTGATTCAGTCTGCATCCCCACTACCCTCCTCACAGAGCACAGCTCCTGACAGCTCTTCTGTCTTCACAAACTCAGCGTCCAGTGAGGTTTCTAGCCTTGCAGGTTTACATCGCTGTTGTTCTGGTAGCTACACCATTGGCCCATTCTCATCTTTTCAGAGAGCTGCTCAGATCTACAGCCAAAGATTGTCCCGACCATCCTCTGCAAAAGTAGGTGAGTCTTCTGGGGTGCATAATAACCTGCTAGTTCAATGTAGAAATTGTGTAATCTCTCTTCTGGAGTAGGTAGAAATTTTACATTTCCAGAATTATGAATCTTGTTGAATGGTGCTAAATTTCTCACAGAAAGCAGGAGTGCAGGAAGCAGCCCTTGTTTGCCAAAGATACCTTTTTATTGAGCAGATGTCCTTTTATTGAGCAGAGGGAATCATAGAATCATTTTGGTTGGAAAAGATCATTAAGATCATCGAGTCCAAGTGTTAACCTAACATTACCAAGACCACCACTAAACCATGTCCCTAAGCACCACATCTACATGTCTTTTCAATATCTCCAGGAACAGTGACTCAACCACTGCCCTGTGCAGCCTGTTCCAGTGCTTGACAACCCTTTCAGTGAAGAAATTTTTCCTAATACACAATCTAAACCTCCTCTGGCACAACTTGAGGTCATTTCCTCTTGTTCTGTCACTTGTTACCTGGGAGACCAACACCCACATCAGTACAACCTCCTTTCAGGTAGTTGTAGAGAGTGGTAAGGTCTCCCTTCAGTCTCAAACTTTGAACTCAGCCTTTGAATTTGTTTGAAAAGAGCTGGGAAATGAAGTATATTTTCACTTGACTGTATTACTGATGTCCTGTTTATCTTTAGTGATTTTAATGTAGTTTTGTTTAGCAGAAGTCCTGCCTCCAGTCTATGTGCTGTTCTTAGTTCTGTGTTTCTCTATCATGCAGACAAATCCTTTAATGAAACCTCATAATTGTTGAATACTTAAAGGCATATCAAGACCTCCAAAAAAGAAAGATCTGAATGAATCATTACTGTATCTCATTCTCTAGGACCTTTCAGTGCTGCCATATCCAAGAGTATCTTAAAAACAAGATCTAGAGACCTCTCGTTTACCATGCTGGGGTAGAACACAGTTGAGCAATGCATCTTTAGAGTGTAAGGAATCTGAAGGGTAGAAGAAACTGTAGGAATTTATGGATGCAGACTGTAATCCATCAGGAAAGTTTTGGGAACCACACACAGGGTAACAGCTGTGGTCCTGATAATTTTTATCTTATTTTTTAATAATGATACATATTTGCTTTAGGTTGCATGTCAGGGTCAGCACATGTTCACTAGTGTTGCTGTATATAGACAACCTTTCTAGCATTAAAATAAATCAGACTTCCCAACTGAGTAGCTCATTTAAAGGGATCCATTTGTTTTTAAGGAAAAACATTATAGATTTAACTTAGGTAACAGCAGCCAATATTCTTTGGAATTGGGTGCCACTAGAAACATTATGATAAAGAGAATACGGGTTTGAAATTGATATTGCCTATATCAGCTTTTGCCAATGTAGAATAGAAGGCTGTATTGTCCCTAGAATCTGCAGAAAGTATCATACTTGCTTTTATATCTCTGTGATCAGCAAGTTGAGAGAGTCTGACATACCGCTCACTATGTGTATCCAAATGTTTGTCTGGTAGGTTTGTGCCATCGCAGTCCAAGTGGGCAGCGTGTGGGCTCAGCCAGGATGCACAAAGATGCAGAAGATACTTCTTCCCAGGGCAAAAGTTATAGCCCCAGTATGGTAGCAGCAGAACTGCAGCAGCTGACAGAAAAGCAAGCAGCCTGTCAGTATTCCCCACCAAGCCACATCGGTCTCCTTACACAGCAGGTACGTAAGTAGTAAAGCTAGAGTCCCTGTGACAACAGAAAGGTCTGTCCCAGGCTTCTTTGTCAGCGCTGGGCTGAAACATGCTGGAAGGAGTAAATATCATGAAAATTGATTTCTGTCATATTGTTTTGAAATGTTTAGAGTGACCAGAATTTTGATTTTCTGTGAGATGACAAGAACGTTGCTAAAGTCCTATTATAGAAGAAAGCAAGGCTGGGCAGAGGATTAGAAAATATGTTATAAAAGAACAATTCCATGCTTGGTCTTATTAAACAATAAAACCAAGTCTTCTCAGATTTGTGCTTCCATGTGATTTGCTTCCTCATTCCCCCAGTGTGTCATCACAGTGCTGGGAATGGAAGTCTGCAAAATGGGTTCTGATGTAAATTCTGTATTCCAATAACATGGTAAAGACATAATGAAGTTCTTACTAGCATGGGATATGATAATCCTTTTGCTAAACATGGTGGTACAGATCAAATTTACATTAGCTTCTGGTAGAATTTTACTGAATTTCATATTTCTTTTTATGTCCTAAATGGCTACACACATTGTCATTTTTTTTCTTTACAATATGCTATAGTTGTATTCATCAAAGGTGTTCAAGTTGGACACTTCTCAGTTAATTAAGCTGACAACTGGAGCTTCTCTAGGATAAGCACTTTGCCCAGGAGAATAATTTTTTCCCTCTTTACTTGCTAGGGGCCAACAGTTTAAATATCTTTACTTTGATTTTGGAAGTATTGTTTTAACAGTGATGCTTTGCTAAATTTTCTGAGGCATGTTTAATAGTTGCAATAGCTGCTCCTATCTGCTTCTTTTTGCTTCTTTCAATTTTATTGTTGTATGTTTGGATTTTGAATATCTGCTTAGATGATTGGCAATATGTCTTTTTCCAAAGGTGGTGTGCATTTATAACTCTTGGAAGCTGAATAAATTTTCAGCCCTTCTACAATGTAGCTCAAGGTTTTGATTCATTCTGGGCAGTTCCAAAACTAACACAGGCACTCTGGCCTTTGCAGATAGGTCTTGAACTTTGTGGGATAAGCCACAAAAACAAAGCACCTTCTTGTTGATGGACTCTGCAGAGAATGTGAGCACTGAATATACCAGTGATGCTGAGGCCTGATCTTGCATCAGTCCAAACTCAGAGATTTTGACCTTTCAAAGCCTGAAGTGGTATGGGGAACATCAGGAGAAGCTTGTTTGCTTGTCCAGTAATATTCTGAGCTGTCAGTCTGGTTTCTCTTAATGAAATCAGAATTCAGCTTTTTGTAAGCTAAACTTTGTCAGTAAACCTGTTCAAAAAATTTGGTACTAAAACATCTTCATTCAGAAAATGCTGATTTGTTGAAAGCTAAATATATGATGGAAACTGCCTCCTTGAATAAAAATTAGTATCTAAACAAATATTTGGGGAAAAAATTGAAAGCCATCTATTTATTTTCAGTTTTTTTAGCAAAGAACTTTTAAACATAATTTCATAGACTTTCTTCCTAAAACCACTCATTTCGCACTGGGCTCCAACTGCTGCGGTGTTTCTTAGGTCTGTCTAGAGAACCCAAGTTGTCCTCTTGCTGCCATTTGTATAGCTATTAGATGATTTTTAAACTTCTATATTCCTACAATAGCTAGTTACTGCTAGTTAAATTAGGAGATATAGAAGGGGGAATTCACAAATATGTGCAAGGGAAGGGCTGTGTAGCTTCCTGAGCTGTGCTCAGTGACAAAGGAGCGTACTCTGGTAATTGTAGATGGTGGAGGCTGAAACCTGTTCAGCCACCAGTCAGTCAATCAGCGTATATATACTGAAGTCTGAAAGTGGCTGTGAAGTGCAGTGGTAGCTCTGGAAATGTGTTGGTTGTGGTAAATGTGTCTGCATTACTTTTTGCTTCTGGGTTCTCCCAAGATACTTTCCCACAGAAAAGGCAGGAAATGCATAGAAGGGGAATGAAGGTGCCAATTCCCTTGTGACAAGCAAACAATGAAGACCTCAGCTCCTAGCAGATAATGTAGATTTTCTGAGTGACCTTGATATATCTTTGTACAAACATTGTGTAGCTGAATACAAGCTTTGCTTTTGTAGTGAAATAGAGAAACATGGGTTGGGTTGTATCTTAGTGGTCTTCTGTCATCATGAAAAAGATCCATGTAGAAAGGGATTGAAAAGCCAATGGAAAGTTTAGAGCTGGAGCTCTGACGATGAATTTCCTTCCTGAGCCTGCATCCATTCAGTTCTAGACATCTGCTCTCTACTGTGATTCTCCAGGCCATGTGTCTGCAATAATCCCTTTGGAGAGATGAAATCTGAAGCTTGCTTAGTATGAAAACTTGGATGGTTGAGTTGAGGACAGTTTGTCTTTTAAGGCAATCTGATTCTTTAGGACTGAATTTATGGCACATAGTAATTTCTAAACTATTATCTTAATCATACCTGAAACAGTGATGTTCGTGAAGGTTCAGATGTAACTGCAAGGCCCGAATGAACGTAGCTAAAGCATATGGCTACTACTGCTGCTTCCCACCGCCAGATGCGTTCTACTCTTCTGTCATCTAAGAGTCATTCTGATTATTATTTTTATCGAGACTTTTAAAGCTTGTCTTGCAACAGGAACTAAAGGTTTTAGTTCTGTGGGAAGAGAAGACTGCCATGATAATGAAGGGTGACAAGAAGTACAAGCATACAATAAAAGCGTAATAGTATGGCAGCAAGTGCCTGTACAGGCAAAACTGGAGGAGCCCATCAAGGGTTGGGCTCATTGTTGAGGTACCTGGAACAAGGACACCTGGTGTTGAGCCAGTCGGTATGGATGTGGATTTGAAGCAGGGGGATTGAATGAATAGAGGAAGTGCAGGCATTACAGAGTAGGCTGGCAGTTTAGAAAGTGATTTGCAGAAGTGTAGATGTCAGTGAAGCTGTTTGGAAGCACTGCATGGTTATAATTTGGGCAGACAAGGATATGGTCTGAAAAAGGAGTCGGGGAAGATAGGGGCGGGAGAGATAGAGGAATGTGAGAGAGAATTAGTAAACAGCTGGAGAGAGTGAGAAGTCAAAGACCATTGGTATGGGTTGAAAGGGGGATAGACTTGGGATGGGAGTGTTGGGGGACTCCGGTGGCTTTGGGACAGGAGACATAAGGGATTGAAAGCTGGGAGGTTAGAGATAGGGCTTGTATGAGGGTGATTTAGTTGAACAGGGCACTGTTTTCCTGTGCATTTCTAGACAGGAGACCCTGAATTGTTATTTGCCCCCTTTTCACTCCTCTGTTTAAGTCACTTCAAAAATAATAGTCCTTTTAAAGTAAAAGTATTCTAAAATAAATTGGTGTGAAGATAACCCCTAGAAGAGACCGTCACTTAGCTAAATAATAAAAATACTGCAATTGTTTAAAGCCACTCCAGAAACTTGGAGTTAGCATACCTTTTTGGAAAGTACCTGGCTGGTATGAAAGGGACTTGATATTGGGATTTAATTATGTTTAATGGCAAGATTAGAACTATTGATTTGGAGAGTGGGTGTGAAAGGAGACTTTTGAAAATACTACTGTTTGCTGTGGTCTGTGTTTCTTTTCCAAGGGCAAGAACTTCTATGTGAGAGTTGAATGCCTTTGTGCCTTGGTTCCCTGTGTTGTGCCCAGCTATGTCTTGGGGGTGGGGGTGCTCTGAATATGTTACCTCCTTCCAAGAGCAGCTGGGAAGCTTGTTTTCCACTCCCATTCTTGTGAGAATTGCTTCTGGTATCTGTGTACTAGCATGTGTCTCCGGGGTTCCCAGGAATGTAGCCTCAACAGCTGTGCTTGGAATGATGTTGCCATTCTAGTTGGGAGTCCACCTCTGTCCCCCTCTAGTCCCTGCTGTTCTTCACTGTTTCCTACCCATGCCCAAAGCACCTGTTTCATGTTTTCTCTCTTACACTCTTGTATTCTACCCTCTGTATTAAATCAGTTTAATTTATTAAGCCAATTAGTTGCTGAAATGACAGTGTTCAAAGAGAAAATTTTAAGTGTAAGTATCTGGTGAGCTTTGAACAAGGCATTTAAAATCTGTCATCTTAAGAAAACAAAAATTTTGTGATTGCATCAGCTTTTTGTCCTCTCCATTCATTTCTGAAACACCAGATGGGAACTTCAGTGATACTCATAATGTAAACAGTTCTTATAATATGGGAGTTGGAGATGGTAGGAAGGTAAAGCCTTACTGATCTGTGGTTTCATTGCCTGGTACACAGTTTTCAATCCTCACAGACTGTCTCACAAAGTGTGTGAGAACGTTTGTGCCTTTTATTAATTTGTATTTTTGAAAAAAAAAAATTTATTATATTGTATAAAATTTTATCAGTGCATCTTCATGCTTGCAACATGGAGAAAACAAGGGTGCCTTCACAGTGGTATACAACAGAAATATTGATCTAAACCCTATAAGAATTGTTATTTAATCCCCTGCATCACTGTTTGATGCCTTACTGCCCAGCTGCAGTAATAAGAGAGAGAAAAGAGGAGCAGTATTATTCTATCTTGGACTAGAAAAGGAGCAGCTGTTTGGGTAACTTCTGTAACTGTCTTTAGTGGTACGTGCAGGGAAGATGTTGCCTTAAGGACACACTGGAGTATGACAATCTCAAGTTAGGTCATGAAAGGTAAATATTTAGCATTACAAATTAATAAACAGTGAAGTTGCTAGGGAGAATCTTTATTGTTAAATATGGCTGTTAACAATGAATGTTAGTTTTTACTTCTGAGGAATTTTATTCCATTTTATTTGCTTAAACCCACAGATTTACAATGTTTTTGTGATTACTAAAATCCAATAATCAAGCTGATTTTGAGGTTATGACAAACACTGAGAATTATATACCACTATCCATAAGAGATCTTTCAAACACTGCCTGATTTTTTTCAGTACTCACCATCTAACTATAGTACTTCAGAGAATCAAAAAATATCAAGGTATTCCTCTAGTTAACTACCCAATATGTTTGGGAGCAAGTGACACAGATCTCTATGGAAAAGATGTGCCTGTGAATATCCAGCATTAAGCTGCTAAGTTTATTCTGAGTAGGATAATAAGGAGGTATCTGAGCTCAAAAGGTCGTAAGAAAGAAAGCCTCTGTCCAAACTCCCCAAGTTTCAACTAAATTAGTCCCGAAGATAGTACGTTCATACCTGTCTTGTGAAAAATGTTAAGTGCATAGAAATGCAAGGCCCATTAGAGTGTTTCAGTCTAGGGCTAAAATCAAGTGTTCAACGTATCTGTTCTGTTTGGACTGCTGCCTAGCCAGTCAGAATGCATATATTAATTAGCAGTGAACAGGTTTCTAATTTGGAACTAGCTGCAACGTGCTGCTTCTCGCTTGTAAGTTAGGGGGGTGCAGGGAGGAAGGATCTTGAAGATATCATACATAGCAGACTTGTGAACGATGCGGTTATTGGCCATGGAGACACGCAGGGATGCCACAGGGAATCCAGTATCCTTAAATAGGATGTTGGTAGATTAATGTATTAATTCAGTGGAGATATAGTTTAGGTCTGTAGAAACAAATTTTGGTGGATATGTGTATTAGAGATATGAAATAATTTCTTTTGCATTATTTTTCACTATAGTAGGTACAGACAAGATATACTTTCTTTCCAGGTAATGAAGTTAAGCTCCTAGGAGAAAAGGTAGGCAAAACAGGTTTTGTGAGACCTGTATGGCTGGATGGTGTACATTGAGGAGTTCAGAAATGCAACAGTGAAGTGACAATTTCTGCTGAAAGGTGTGGTCAGTGGTAAAGCCTGGTATAGAGGACAGAAAGGCAACAAATGTGCTTATCTGTCATAAAGACCCTAAAGTTTCCTGTAAATTAAAGCAATGAGTCTTGCTCCACTAGCAGATATATATTAAATTGAAATAAAACCGGAATTTTAATTCACCCAGATAAACATAATTCAGGCAAAAATAACCCACCCCAAACACCCAACTCATGTCTTGACCTATTAGAATTCTTTGAACGGAGAAAAGTAGCATCTAGTGGAACTGGTTCTTGTTGAAATTTTCAAAAAGGTTTTTCACAAGCTTTCAGCAAGGCCTATTAAGCAAGCCAGGTATCTCTAGGGTGAGAGGTAAAGGTTTGTCATGGATTGAAAACAGAAAGCAAATAAAAGAGTAAGAAGCCAGTTTGCTATAGAGCAAGTGGATAACTGAAGACGCAGAATACAGAATGCACATGACAGAGTGTAAAATTAAAGATTTGAAAGGAGGAGGGTCATAATGACTGTCATATTATTACCTAAATAATGAATATAAAAGCAAGTTATTGCAAGGTAATATGGGGTGTGAATTTACAGTAGATTAACTACTCTGTAGCGTTCATCCATGTGAACACATGCTTGTGCAGCACGTTTACTATGTGAGGTAACTCGTTACCTTCAGTATAATGTGGGCTGCAAGTGTCCAGATGTTCAATTACGGTGAAGTTATGTGTGTGCTGTAAACTGAAACTTGAGCCTACCTCCTGGTAATTTCTCAGTACATCTGTTTTCTTTTGTTGATTATTATGAGAAAAGCTAAGAGAAAGTTAACAACTGCATTATCTGGGCAAGACAATGGCAGATGAAGTTCAGTGCTTAAAAATAACTGGTTACATGACAAGCAATAATTTTAACTACTTAAAACTTGTTTTTTCTTCCCTAAATGATTAATTTAAAGCTTAATACTTTTTGTTCTGGAAAGCTCAGTGGAGGTACCTGTTCTAAGTCAAGCAGTAAAGGCAACAACCAAAAGCTATTAACATGTTTAAGGAACAGGATAGGAAATAGTATGTAACTATTTAAACATCAAATACATGCCCTCTCTTGAAAAACTGTTTTCAGTTCTGGTTGCCATTCCTAAAGTGAATTCAGGAAAAATAACTGGGATTCACAGATGAGTGACTACAACAATTAACTGCAAAATGCATTTTTAACAAGGAAGTGAAAATATTGTTTAGAGAGGAGATAAGTATGAAGGAACTACAGAGCAGTGGATAACAAGGTAAAGTAAGTTGATTTTATTAATGTTTCTCATAATAAGAAGGGGATGTTCAGTTTAGTAGGAAGACATCAGTGTAAAAACTAATAATAAAAGTGAATAGTTATTGTCACAGAATATACTTACCTTCTGAAACCTCCTGCATCGAGATACCATTAAGGCAGAAAGCTTAACAGGCTGTAATTACCTCAGAATAATGAGCATTTTGCAAATGATAGATTCCCTAGATTTTAGCATACACAAAAACCAAATTAATTTTGCTTATCAATAAGATGTTTCAGTTAAATGTATGGAAACTAAAATTTCTTCCATCTTCTGAAATATATCAGGCAGGATAGTGAGTTTGGTGGGCCATTGCTCTGAACTGACCTTTTGTCTTTGATACTGAGGAACGCGTGCTGTGCTGCTGCTTCCATATTTATGACTTTTTCTTTGTCACATTGCTTTACTGTAGTCAAGCTAAATTATTTCCTTTATGATAAGTGGGTTACTGAGACACTTGTGAGGAAATCAATATCTAAAATAAGTAATTTTCCTAGTTATGGCATGCAAATGATTGCTAACTATTTTTACAGGTTGATGACGTCTTTATCAGTATGCATAGTGGGTCACCTGCAGTGTTGTCAGTGTGTTAACGATACTCAACTCAATTTTTCAATTGTCCTGACATTTTCTCATTCAGCTTGCCCATTGCCTAGCATGAGCTTAAGCTAGTAACAGCACTGTTGGAGAATCAAGGCATATACATTGATGGTGAGCTGGGGAATGGAGCCTGAAGATACCATTCCGTAAACCCCTCTCATTGTATTGGGACTTAATTGCCTTTCTTGCCTCGATTTGTGATATAGGGAACTTACTGGCTGCTATGTTACTTCTGGACAGGTGAACTAAGGGTATTTTCATCTGTACCTACTGTTAACCATTGGCCTTTCCTGATGGATGAAGGAAATATAATAATAATCCAGACTTCCCTCGGCTGTGTTCCTTACCAGGCATTAATCTGACAGGCTTTATTTCACGTGTGTTTTGCATAAAGTATTTCTGTGCACTTGTATTGCGGGACTTTGTACAGGGAGGACATTAAAATGCACAGCATGTGTGTAGATCTAGAGCCAGTTGGCTGGATCCTGGATATGTATGTGTGGGTTTTTTTTCTTTGTGAATAGCATGCTACTTCTTTCTGAAATACGCTATAAGGTAAAAAGAAGATTTTCTTCTGCAGTGCTGGATCTGTGTGAGGTCCTTATCGCTGGATGTTGTGGGGGGCTGCAGTTGATATCTACCAGGCTGTAGTACTTTATAGTTATTAATGCTAGTGAACTGAAGAATGTGCTGCATTGGCCAGCTTC